CTTAACTTGTGGTTTGTTTCAGAGTAAGTTGTGATTTATTCCTAATTGAGTAAAAATATGTAAAAATATTTGGGTCGATTCCTGATTTCTCCGTACTAATAATATATATTTACTCAGTTATAGAAAATGTAAACTCTACTTAATTAATACTGACTTGAAGCTCATCGAACAAGAAAGTTTTTCCGAAAGTGTTGTGTCTTTATTCCTGTTGGGGGGTTGCAAAGTAAATCACGAATTATTTTATGAAAACCCGAACTTAACATAGTTTAACTGCTTAAAACTCCCATTTAGATGGTTTTGAAAAAGATCTGATTTAATTTCATTTAATGTAAATTTAATCTAGTTTACTTCGAAGTAATTGATTGTAACCTAATTAAAATATTTTTTTTTAGTTATTACTTTTTATTGAACATAAAACATGGTTGTCTTTAAAATAGCAAAATTTAATTTTTCTGGTCCTCTGTATGTAATAAAACTATGGTTCATGGTTACTTTTTATATGTTTTAATGGCGTTTAACACATATTATCAATTGAATGAAATTAATGTAAATATAAACTTCATATCATTATCATAAAATTCTCCATTGATTGATATCGAATATAATTCTATTTTCAATGACTTTTAAGAATCATTAAAAGAAAGAAACTTTGAATAATCATTTGACCTTTAGAAAATGTTAAAAAAAAAACAATTTAACTTCAAAAAGGTATCGTCTACTGTGAAAAAAAATCAATTTCGTGCTTTAGAGTGGAAATTAAATAAATATCTCATTTATTTTATCAATATATAGGGTCACTTTTATAGATATTTTAAAGTACTTGATATCGAACAATCTTTGTAAAAAAAAAGTCATAGTTTTTGAGATATTCTCAAAAAAATAAAAATAAATTGCCAGTTTTCTGTTCTTGTTTCCTTTATCTCACCAAAACCCGACGCGGGATTTTTTGGGAATCTTTACCAGTTATTATTGGGAGGGTAATTAACAAGCTTTATATTTGTTTTTTAATGTTGGGGTAAGGTTGTTTTTTATCTTATCTTTACTGGATTATAGTGCATTTGCTTTGTGTACCTCTGTGAGTGGAATATCTAACTGAGTATATGTCAGCTGTTGAGTCGATATCTTGCCGGATATGAAGAGCTGTCGTTGAGTTGGCCACGACCTTCCAGATAGGAATTGTGCCAAGGCCTTTGTCAATATTAACCTTCTACCTTCCATTTTAATTAAATTGAAAATAATATTATAGTATGACAAACCGACGAATTATATTGTTATGATACATTTTAGAAAATTTTATAAAGCGGTTCATGGTAGGTAGATGAAAAATTTTACATTAATTCCAACCAAAATGTTGTTTTAAATATGTATATATATATATATATATATATATATATATATATATATATATATATATATATATATATATATATATATATATATATAAAATAGAATTTCGAATATTTATATAACTGACTGTTATTGAATTAATATGTATTTTATAATTATGTAGTTTGAAAGTATAACAACTGAATTAAAATTAGTTTGCATTATGTTGAAAATGGCTTCAGAAGCCGAAACGTAAAATAAATAATATGTTATGTGAAAACTGCGTACATTTGGTGACTTATTGCCTAATATTTTATAAAAAAACTTTTAAAAAATGGCACCGAACCTAAAAGATATGACTAGAAAATATAATAGAATTATATTATTACTTATTCAGGACGCTGTCTTTTAAAAAAATATATATAATTTTTTATTTATGCCAACGTTTCAACCGAAACATGTGGGTCATCTTCAGGGCGTGGTTTGAGCACTGAGGGTGTTCAAGTACTGAACTCGGTACTTGGACACCCTCAGTGCTCAATTTTTTTAAATTTTTTTTTTTATAAAAGACTGCGTCCTGAATACATATCACCGATGATATGTAGAACAGTTGACTAACTTCCTTCATTACTTATTTACTTTATTCTTGAATCTTTTCTTCTTTCCTACGACTAAGTAACTATTACTTTTACAGAAGGTTATTAAACTTTCCACATTTTTTTTTTTTTTAAGTCGTCGAACAAGATGAGGTAAGTTACTGCATATTAGTCTGTCCACCGTCCGCAGCTATTCTCGAAAACTGGACCGATTGTTTTGAGATCGCCCTTTACTTTCAAGATGGCGGCTGAAAAACCTTTACCGCTGTAGACTGTATCAAATTTAATATAGGTTGGCCAAAGTCTTCTCCTCGAAGCCCTTTAAATTTATCCATATAATATACTCCACCGAAAACAACTTGTTCATCAAGATGGCAGCAAAATTGCGATAAAACTGCGGCGAAAGTCTCGACAAAATAAAAAATTAAAAAATAATAATTTTTCAAATATTTATTACGTTAAGTTGTTATGAAATTGTATTTTTATCTCAGGTTTCTCTTATAGGAATTGATGTGTATTTATAAGAGACAAAATTAATGTTTCTAGCCCTATTATTTACGATTTCATGATAATAATTGAAGCAGTCTATAGGTTTTTTTTTTATTTTTAAAATAAATTTTAGTTAGAAACATTAAGTTTGTCACTGATAAATATATATTGATTATTATAACAGAGATCTGGGAGAAAAACACAGTAACATAACCACTTTACATGATATATGTTTGCAAAATCATTATTTTTTATTTTTTGTAAATAAAATGTAGTTTAAGGCAATTATGTTTACTACAATAAATTCCATACATACCACGGAAAACAAAAAGAAATAAAACTTTGCTGCAGTTAACTGTAGTAATTTTCGCATAAAACACGGGTACTTTATGGTGATAGAAAATCACATAATTTCTTTACACAACTTGAGGTGAATCTCAAACTTTGTTCTAATAAACATCAATTTAATTAATATGGACTTGAAGCTTATTAAACGATGAAGCTTTTCTAAATGTAATACAGTTAAATTGTGATAAAGAAAATCACAAATAATTTATGAATTTTTTTAAACGAAATGTAGCTGTGTTTGTCCGGTCAAAAGTCCTCTTAAAATAATTTTAATAATGGAATATTCTTATTTCGATTAAAGTAAATTTTCTCTAGTTTACAATGGAGCAATGTTTAGTGATTTAAATCAAATATTTTTTATGTTATTGCTTCCAATTCAACAAAAAACGTGACTCGCTTAAAAAAACACAAATCTTAAATTTCTTAGTTTTCTGCTGAATATCCATTGTTTATCTGAACTTTTTTTGTATATCTTCATGTCTTCTATCAACCTTTTAAATATTTTCTACATTTCCGGGACACCCCGTATAACTCAAGCTATTATTGTATAGCTAAATAATTATTCAAATCAATATCTCAATTTTCTATTTACAATATTTAAATTTTTCTATTTATATTTATTTCTTATATAACTTCTTATTACTTTTCTCTGTTTTACATTTTATTCTAAGATAACCATTTTTAGTTCTTATGTTACCTTATTTTGATTTTACTTCATTAGTCAGCACTTTTTAGCCGTTATTATTATTTATTTCTTAGTTCTCTGTTATTGTTATTATTCTACCTACTTTATTTTACTTTAATGTTCACTTATCTATTTCATTTTACTTTTTTTTACCTACACTGTTTATGTTTCTCATACCTATTGTTATCTGGTTGTTTGTTTGTTTGTTTCGATGTCTAGGCGCAAAACATCCAGGTCATAATCGCCCGATCAACTAAATAACATTACGTAATACTATTTGGATGGTCGGTACAAAAAAAAAAAAATAAAAAAAATCTGTTTGTTTTCTGGTTATCTGTTTGTTTTCTCAGCTCTGATGAAGGCCTGAACATCGGGTCGAAACGTCGACAAATATTAAAATCAATATTATTATTTATTTTTGCCATTTTTATTTTGACTGATCATTCCAACCATCCTTCTCTCCATTAATTATTTAAATCGACTTTACTTACATATTTTCATAAATAGATAATATCTGCTTTGAATCACTTTATTCCCAATTGTTTAAAAAAATAGTTAACTATTTTCGTAGAGATTTTCGCTATCAAGTGGATCGCTACACCATCAAGCTCGGCCATTTAAGTCCAACTATCCGTGGGAAATGTTTGTTGTACCGTTTCCTTCCATCGTTATGTACGTTCCATGTTTAGCCTTACTTTCTCTTTAGTGTAATCAATTATTCTTTTAATCCTGTTACTCACTAGGTTTCTCAAATTAATCTGTTTTTGTTTAAACTTTTACGAACTCGGTCAAATCATCTAGTGCAGACAGACGGGTTTCCAAACTATGACTCGCGAAAATCTTTAGTTTACACGGCAAAATATTTAATATTACTGTTATTCGCAATTTATTCGAAATTGGACCACATTATTACAAATTTAAGAAAAACATAATGATGTAGAGATGGTTGACCGTTGATATAATATGAGAAGGAGTTAGTCGAGGGTGCGGTAAAATGAATACTAAATTAAAATATATTAATTATTTTAATTTTTGCCGACGTTTCGAAACACTTTGCAGGTCGTCTTCAGGGCGTAGGATGTAGCACTGCGGGAGGCAGTTGAAACACAGTGTGTGTGGGTCGAAACGTCGGCAAAAATAAAATAATGAATATATTTTAATTTAGTATTCATTTTACCGCACCCTCGACTAACTCCTTCTAATAAGAAAAACATATATGAATTTGTATGACATTCGTAGACACACTTTAATATGTACTTACGGTATAAAACAGTTCAGTAACATTTGTGTACGTGACAAAAAGTTCTTCACACATAACATTATAGATCTACCGTTAATTTTTTTCTGCCTTTTTTCGAGGAAGCTTGTTATATATTGAGTGGCAAATAAGTCCTTTCGGTTTTTCTGTTTATTTCTATGTCACTATGATACAGTTCTTATCTGATGAATTAATCCCTAAGGTGGATTGTTTATCCTGCTTGTAATATATCAACAACTATATCTGTTAACTCTTGTTGAAACTAGCTTAGTATTGTGTTTGCTATTGCACTGTGAACATGGAAGAAAATATCATTCATTATCGGCATATCTTGTTGTATTATTTTAAAAAATGTAAGCGAGCTGCAGAAGCTGCAGTGTTTATGGGGACGATGCCTTAACCGAACGCACCAGTCTAAATTGGTTTGCCAAATTTCATTCAGGATATTTTGACATCAATGATGCTCAACGGTCTGGTTGCCCACATGAAATTGAAACGAGCAATGTTAAGGCCATTGTTGATCAAAATCCCACCCAATCAGTGCGGGAGATTGCTATGGCCCTAAATAAATACAACACAAGCGTAGAAAACCATTTGAATAAGCTCGAGTATGTTTCCAGAGTTAATGTTCGGGCATCGTGTTTGTCCGCTCAGTAGTCCTCTTTAATTAGTTTTAACGATGGCATACTCTAATTTTGTTTAAAGTAAATTTTGACTTGTATACCCTGGAGCAATGCTTGATTACTTAAATCAAATATTGTTCAAGTCATTACTTCATATTCAACTAAAAACGTGACATTATATATATATATATATATATATATATATATATATATATGAAAATATAGAAAGAAAAAACTGAACTAAAATGCGAAGGAAAAAGAGAAATTCAAACAACTGATAATGGCCTAATGTTTTTAGCTTACCACCCCCACCCCATGTATTTGTTTTTATCTTCAGTTAGTTATAGATTGATTTGCTTTTCTTCTCTTATCACTATGTCCTCTTCATAATAATATAGATAATGGATATTTATAATTGATTCGGTCAACAATTTCGTATAATAAATTTTCATTTTTACAACACATTACATGCAAAACATATTTTTGAAAAAAAATAACAATGATAATAACGGCTGGTCTTACCAAAATGATCTTATTGTATTTTAAGTCAGAATGCCCGAAATGCTTTAGTAAATTCCGTTTTTCAAATAACTTGCTTAAATTGAAAGTTTCCCATGTTTTTTGGAGTTTTTATACCTTTTCCGACCACTGTGCGCTGTTGTCCCACCGTCTTTACCATTCTTGGGATATGGCTTCTCTTAGAGGTCGTGCAAGTTCAGACGGTGTCGAAAAATTTCAGCATTATGTCAAAATGTCAACATTATTACTAATTTCCTTAATTGTGACGAAATGTAATATTACTTAATAAAGAAATGTTTTAATTTCAAAAGAATAAATAATTAATTATAATAGGACCTAGATTACTATTATAGGATATAAATAAAAAAAACATGCCTGTATCAATATTTTTGTCGATCCATGATCCGCGGGAATGAATGGCGGTCTCAATGTGGCCTGTAGGCCAAAACTTGGAGACTCAGCATAATCAAAAGAAATTTGATTAATTTTTTATATTTTCTTTTTTTAAAAAAGGTTATACTATAATTTCTAGTTATAATGTGTATATTATACTTGAGATTTTTTTCCCGCTTATAATGTTATATAAAGAAAATTTAGGACTTAATAACTTTTCATAAAAGGCTGATTACTATGCTGACTATATAATATTATATAATACGGGGTTATTTAATTATATTGAAAGGTTCTCCAGGCCATCGGAGCGGAACCTTTTGGCTCGCGCTAAAGGCTCTCCTACCCTTTGCCAATAAGGTCGCGACCTTTCCGAGTCTTTTCTCTTCTATTAAGTCTCTCTAGTAACTTGCAACTTTAATTAAACGTTAACTTTCTGATAGTTAATTCGATAACATTATATTATTATACGTTATAATAATTATACTAGTAGGCCCGTGCGAAAAAAAAACACATAGCATATTGTTATCAAATGCCAAATTAATAAGAAAAGAAAATAATGCAACGTATCTAAAGATAAAGAAATCAATTGTTACTTTATCGATAAAATATAATCGACAAAGGAAATAAAAATTAATTTAAAACTTCATTAATGTTTGGAACCGACATGTTTACAAATTTCAATAAGCTGTATCTTTGCTAAAAATTGTCCGATTTCGATGATTTTTTTCCTTTTGTAGGAAATTTCATAATATTTTATATTATCATGGGCATAACCAAGGGAAAAGTGTGTAATGTTTTAGTTTGCAAATAAAGTTGTTGTTTTCTTTCATAACTTGTTTGCCTGAATTTTCGGGGTGATTGGACTATTTGCCCGCCTGGAGGAGAAGGAAGCCTTCGAAATTGGTGGCTCAATCTTGAGATTTGGTGAAGAATTAACGATGATATAGCTTGCCGATCAAAAACACCATCGATATATAATATAAACTCCTCCTCTCTCGATCATAGAGACCTCAAGTCGACGAACTGAGACATGTATTCAATGACAGTACTACAATTAACGTAAGGTTGTGTGGATGCGAACCCTATGCCTTGCGTTATCTCGTAAAATAGTACGTTTTTGCGCTTAAAAACGCATCAAAATCTTCAAAGCCCAATTTGTCCCGTATCGATCTACAGACCTACCACAGTTCCAGTATTGAAGCCTAGCAAAATGTTTGTATCGACTTTATTTATTTTAGAAAGAAAAGCAAAAGTCGAGAATACGATTCGCCAACTCCCCGTGAAATTCTGATACCCCATTCATGGTGTTTGAACATGACAGGAGCTCATATTCGGTACAAAACCGACTTCGAGCCTTACTGTAATAATATATGTGGGGATATTTATATAATGTGTACGATATTTTAATTTATAATAATATATTAGGAATCTTTTTTTTTTTTTAATTTATCTTTGGCATGTAATCTTTAGACAAAGGCTCGAGTCTCTCAAATACCAGTAAATAATAAACCATTCAAAGTTTCTCCTATCCAGTCATCATCAGAACATTTAAAAGTTTCACCTAATGTAAATAATACAACAATCGATAAGAGATATTTTAAGATACAACATTCTACTATTGGGTATAAAAATAAAATAAAATAATTCACCGAGTTGTATGAAAAGAAGATGGCTTCGTAATCTCCTAATTTAGAAATTTTTGATAAAGTTCTAATAAATCGTTTCTCAACAAGTTTTTTCATATCATTATATTTCTCTGTGTCGCATTTACCTGACATATTTTTATTTTAATTCAGTAGTCAATTTCGTGAATAAAAAATAAAAATTTTAAAAAAAGCACCTGAAAACTTATAGTTTAATTATTTTTTTCTGTCTTAGGAAAAAATATTTTTTTCTTTTTTATTTATAATTAAAGTGTTAATCAGTTTCAGTCACAAACAATTGTCTTTTCTTTTTCCTTTTTCTTTTTTTTATATGAGTGGTACAATCACTTTTATTATATATTACTATAGCTCATGTTTTCTTTCCTTTTTCTTTTATATGATACATCACTTTAGTATATCTATATTACATATAGCACTACATACTACATATATACCACTAGTGGATCCAGGATTTAATTTAGGTGGAGGGGCTTCAGACCGAATGCTTTTTTTTTTTCATTTATATATAACAGTAATTAATTAAAAAAAAAAAGAAATTAACTACCCATATGAAGTGGCGTGTTTAAGTGATTTTTGAAATCCTATAAAATGTAATTACACTAACAAACGTAAAAATTTGAGATAGTTTTTAATATTTTTTTATATAAAACGTTTTTATATAATCTATAATCTAATATAAAAAGTCGTAAAAAGTATTAGAGAGTGAAAAAAAAAGGATAAATTATAATTTGTGAAAACTTATATTATTTACCGGAAATCACATGTTTTCAAGGATATTAAATAAATTTACTAACTAAATGTAAACTTTTTTTTAAGTTTAAAAAAAAAAATTAAAATCCACGTAATCAAGCCAATGAAACTGTTTAAAAAACTATTTCATAGTACTTATGTGAAAGAAGAAGTAAAACATAAAAATATTTCATGGATGTATAAAGTATATGTTCATTACCTTAAATATATTTACTGTAGTTTAATAATTCTAGATCTGATATTATATTTCAATAATTGATTATCACCGTCCGTTTATTCCGAAAAATCGTCATGCAACCTTTTAGAAAATTAAATTAGTGAATAATTTGATGAATTTTCCCTTTGTGAAATCCTAACATTATTCTCTTAAAATTAGTTTGAAAACTTTCTACCTATCTATAGCAGCCAATGAAAATCTCGTAATTCCATTTCAGTAAACCTTACAATGGATGATAACAGTTTAATAGGTGTACAATCCATAATAATTTATAGGCTGAATATACAGTTATACTTTCAAATCTATCTAGGCGTATACGTAGATATATAGTTTAGAGACTAGAGATGTGTGGTTTACAAAAACGGATGAAGTACCGAGGTTTTTATTGTCTACCGTTGATATAATTAATAGGGTTTTTGTTATTTTAGTGGTCTTAATGATTTGTTATCTGTAAGCTATAAGCTATAGCTTTAAATTTGTTAAAAGCGTTAAGTTAAAAGTGTACTTCAAATGTTTTATAATTGCTCAACATCGCCAAAAAAATAATTTATATTCAAAGTAGAGAGGTATGTAAAAGTTGTGTGTTGCGCGCACCAGATTTTTTTTCTAGTACTTCGTATTAAAACATTTTAATAACAAGTAGTGTTGATACTTTGATATTTTGTAGGCATTTTAGTAATTTTTTTAAAATTGGTATTCTATTCTTATCAATTTTTCTATGTTTAAGCTATTTTATTAATTTTGATATCTAGTTCCGGGTTATTAGTGTAAATTGACATTTTTTTTCTAATAAATGATTTCTTAATAATTAATTATTACCTTTTCTGATGTAATAAATTTAAAAGTATGTGTTGATCAGCTGTTCGAAAATAGTTCTCAGTTGTGTTACCTGTTATTTTCCTCTTGTTTTAATACTTCACTGTTTTAATAACTAAGAGCAAGTTATTTTTTTAATAGTGATTTATGTGATCTTGACATTATTTATTCTGATGATACTGGAATAAGCGAAATATATACTCATAAAATTTAATTTAATTATAATTGGATAGTTAGATCTAGGCAAAGTGGACAAAACGTTATTTAAACAAAACTAATCTATAATTGTTTGATCGATTTAGTTTAGCCATCGATCCCTTGTATAGTAATATATTCGTTCTCCTCCACACCCTAGTTTTCCCCCCTCCAGCGTGTTGTTTGCCCGACTGTCACTCGAGGACAATAACCAGATCTGCTGTGACGTTAACCTACTGCCGTGGCTAGTCTCCAGAATGTTTTTTTTTATATTGCTTTTATTTATATATGGTTATAAAACGAAATAAAAATAGAAAGAAATATGCGTTTAGAAACGTTACCTAATAGCGGCAGGAAACGAAAAACAGAAAACTCCCTCCTATGGAAT